AATCAGGAAATGCTTACTGAGCCACCGGAACAAGCGGACACATGAACAATGGGGCAACAAGACCCGAAAACCAAATGAACCAGCAACCAGGCTGAGGGAAGGGAGGAGAATATATAGGCAGAAGACCAGGGGATAATGAGCAACAGGTGGAAACAATGAATGGTGATTGTGAACCTGGGTAAAGCTGGGGCAGATGAAGGGACACAAGACAGGAAACTAACCAAAATAGAAGCACCAAAAAGGAAGCAGGACCACAAACCATGACACCTTTTTCATGCTAAACATTTTGACATGTAATTGCTGGACAAACAGATCCAACTTTTCACATTAATAATAGGTGCATGCTATTTAGGTGTGTCCACTCCAGTGCCCTGATATGTACATGCTGGCTTACTTCTGTGTTATCACCCCACCCACACTACTTCTTCTTCTTGTTGCTTTGATTGACAGTTGGCAAACCAATGCCATCCACGTTTCATTACACCTGACCCTATATCAATGGTATCAGTTACACCTGTGCTCTTGACAAGTTCAAGTGCCTGCTATAAAAATGGTTTGTTATCAGTGATAGTTTAATAAAGCAATAAAAAAGGTGACGAACTAAGAAATTTGGATAAAATTTTAGGGGGTTTAGCATTTTAACAGTTTGTATCATGCGTTAATTGAGCCTCACAGGCATAATAATATCTTATTCTTTATATAATACCAATTCTGGAACTTGCTGCATTATCCAGTGTGGCACTTAACTTTATGTTGTTTTTCTTTAGGTGAAACAATGGTGATTGCTGCAAAAGTCGACAATTCCTCATCCAAAGACATGACACCCAAATTCACTTTAATCCAGGATGTCCTGTACCTTGCCAACAGCAGTACCAAACATAAGAGCAATGTTATCTTCAGAATGGCTGGCAAAGGTATTAAACCCCAAACACAGGAGGAGCTCAAGTGTGAAGTCAAAATACCTTGTGATCAGAAGCCAACAATCCAAAACTGTGACATTATCAAAGTGGAATACCATTTAAAGGTATGCAACAGTGTAATAAATCCACTGACAGAGCTATTTTCACTTAATTCTGTAAAGCTGCTGACCCAGAAATATTTATATTTGAAGATGTTTTTAAATTTCTT